AGCTCAATTTGTTTGCGCGCCATAATTTTTCAATATCCCAACAGGACTTTGTGGACACACTGTATTTTTGTTCAAATGGTTCCCTTTCCAGGTTTTTCAAACAGTGTTACTAATTATTATGCATTAGCTGATGAGGTTATGTATAATGTGTCTTCCTACAAAGCTAGATGATTCTGGCACTTTCCAACTGCTAGTCATGGATAATCTTCCTTCAGTTTCATGCTACCAGTTAATCTCGACATGAGTCTACATCAATCCACAAGAACATTAAACCAACTTATGTAGATTATAAAGAGGTGTTGAAAATGTACACTTCTTCTGTATGTGCACACACTGCATCATTTAAACAGGTTGAGGAGCACACAGAAATTCTTTGTGAATAATTTAAAAAAAATCCTTTTAGATGCTGCCCCACAACACTTGCATATTGAGGTTCAATTTGTACACGTTGTCTTTCAAACCACCTCATAAATAAAAGCATCATAGGATAAGATCAGGCAGACTTATTGACCACAATCCTCTTTTTATTATTCTGTTATCTAACATTCTCTCCAAATCTGCCACAGAACATCTTCAGGGTGATCAGTTCCTGGATCCTGCTGAAACCACTCATATGAACATTTTGTTATGTATGGTGTAGAGAGAATTCTGTCAGTATTAGCCTGATTCATACATCAGAACTATTTTCATGTAAAATATAATGTCAGTATTTTATTTAGCATTTGTCACTTATCACACACCAACTTTGTGTACTCAGTGTGCATTCTCAGATCCATAGTACTGATTATTTTGGAAGGAAACATGTCATTGCCAGTGAAATCAGGCGATATCCAAGGATGAACTGAATGAGGGTCATCTTCTCTGTCATGAACTGACCACAGAAACTGATTGAAAAAATTAACCCTTCTGGCTATGTCATGTGGTTGCAAAGTACAGTCACTTTATATGACTGAAGTTGAAGCAAATTTGTCATTTTTGCTAGTCATGATTTTGAAACTCCACCCTCTTATGCAAGATAACCCACTGATGTTTGTCGTGAATGTTCTAGCCAAATCGTTATTTTGTCAATTTCTCTTCAGAAACACACACTTTTAATGGGTTTATTTTTCAGATGTGACCAAGTAGACCCAGTTGTGGGTGTGTGTTGTGCTTGGAATTGGTACTGTGGGAAATTTCCACTGACAGTGATAGCCAGTCCACACTTCACCCACAGGTTATATAAAAATACACATTGTTCTACAGTGTATGAAATCCTGTCCACTCAAAATGATAAACCCTAGTTATCATTCTTGGCACTTGTTTGTAACATCTAAAACAGGTGTGTGGCTTTGAAGAACTTAAGATGGTAATGTGGACTTCAGCAGGACTTGGAAACTGTTAGAGAGAATACCAGAATTTCAGCCATTGATATTCTAGGTGATTAAAAACTCTAGCAGCATAAACCATGGTTTAACAAAGGATGTTCAAAATGATCAGATTTAAGGAAACAAGCGAAATTGCAACCAAATAAATGGAACAGTGTAAGACTTGAAGGTATTAGATGTTCAGAAACAATAAGAGAGAATATCTGAAAGACAAAATTAATGAGCTGGAAGTAAACAGTAAGAGCAGGAATGTTAGAGACCCATATAGAGGCAGGAATTAATTTAAGGGTTACCAACCCAGAACTAACTTGGTAAAGGATTAGAAGGGTAATCTGCTTGCAGATTCCCGCAACATTTTGAACTAGTGGAATGATTATTTCTACCATTTACTAAATGTACATGGGTTTAGTAATCTTGGGCAGATTGAAATTGCATACAGACAAGCCATTAGTACCAATGTCTATTCCTTTTGAGGCTGAGGCTGAGATTGCTATTGAAAAGTTGAAAAGGTATACATTTCCAGGTATTGATCAAATTCTGGTAGAACTGATTCAGCAAGAGGTGAACCATTACTTCCGAGATCTGTATGCTTCTTAATTGTATTTGGAATAAGAAGAAATTTCCTCAGCAATAGAAGCAGTTTGTTACTATACCTATTTACAAAAATGTTGATAAAACTGATAGTAGTAATTGTGGAAGCATATCATTGTTATCAACTTAATACAAAATTTTATATAATCTGTTCTCAAGGTTATTTTTTATTGCTAGTGGGGTGAGACTAAGTCCCTTGTACTAAGGCCACTTCTGGCCTATTGTACTAGTCCCAGATGATAGGTGAGGGTGATTGTGGAGCAATTGGTGGAATGAAGATTGGCAGGGAAAATCGAAGTACCCGGAGAAAACCTTCCCCAGCGCCACTTTGTCCACCACAGATCCCACTTGACCAGAACTTGGATCAAACCCGGGCCGCTGCAGTGGGAAGCCAGAGATTAACCACTTGAGCTATGGCACAGCCCCTTCTCAAGGTTAACTCCACACATAAAAGAGTTACCAGAGATCATGAGTTTTGATGTGGATGTAATAAATCAATTGTTTATCAGATTATTGAAATCATCAGGTGTTGGGGAAAGTAAGAATATAGTGGGACAGTTTATACGCTATTTATAGACTCCGAGAAAATAGACAGTATTCCCATAGAGTTTGGTGTATCAGTGAAACTAGTCAGGCTAACTAAAATGCATTTGGATAAAACCTATTTGTGCAGATAAAAAAGTTCCTGTTAAGTTTCTTATTCAGAGTGGTATGAAACAAGGTAATGTTTTTTTTAACTCTCTATTAGAATACACCTATACAGAACTCTAATTTTGCTTGTAGTTCTGTATGAGTGTGAAGGAGAGAACTTAATGACAGATTAAATATAAAAGTCAAAGTTTTTTTATGGTTTGGATACATTGTTTAACTAATATATCCGGGATCTCATCATAACCCACTGAAATTTTCGTTTTTAGTTTACTATTGACCTGAAGAACCTCTTCTTCGGTAACAGGGGCAAGAAATAACNTCTTCATAGTCACCGCCGTGAAAGCCTCAAATCTTACAATTTTACAATTTTTATTAAAATGTATCAATTTGTCTATGCTATTTACAAAAAATCATTAAATTGTTGGGATACATCCTGTGGGTTTGTAACTAACTTAGAGTCTATTTCTGTAAAATTATTTCATGACTCCTTTTTTATTATTTGAAATAGATTTTTTAATTTTTGACTGACCCTTTAATAATTCGGTCATTTTCTCTTTGACGGGCAACAGAAATTACTTTTTTATAAATTCTCTGATATTTCTGTGTGAAGTGACAGGGACATCTTTCTTTTTAACAAAGTTATAGTTGTAGCCTCTGTCTAGACACCTTTGTCCCTTGTGTGATCCAGCTTGATTTTTTACCTTTCTTGTTAAAAACATTTTTAAGGAAAAAATGCAAAAAAAAATACTTATGAAACGTACTTAGGAAGACATGATAAGCAGTATTTAGATCAGATTGAAGATAAACCTCATCCCATAATTCGATTTTTAGTTGATCCTTAAAATTTGCAATATTCTTGAAAAAATCCTTTTTACCACATATTTTAAACAGGTAGAAGGGCTGTGAACAAGTATACTCATAACCAATGCAAAATGATCAGAAAAGCCCATTTCTATAACCCTTGTAGTTGAATGGTAAAAAATTTTATATCTGATCATAACATCCAGCAAAGAACAAGTATCTGAAGTAACACAGGTTGGACATAAAACCGTGTTTTGTAGCTTATTTAATAACAGTAGACTTTGTAAAGCCTTCTGATAGGTATTATCCTCTAATAAATTTATGTTCCAATCCCCACATAACACTAAGAGACGCCCCTTTATTTTAACTTTGTTTAGGGTGGCCTCTAATAATTCAAGGAAAATTTGCTTGCTACTATTTGGGGATCTATATATACAAACAACTATGATTTCCAAATCCACTACCTCAATAGCTGAAATTTTAAATAGACTTTCCCTTGCTAGATTTTTTACAAAGGGAAGCTCTGTAGTTTTTAGATCATTTGAGACAAGTATGCAAGTACCCCCATATCTATTTGAGATCCTACAAAAGTTAGCCACTGATTTATAGTGATCAATGTTAATATGTAAAAGATAATCTCTATAAATCTCTATTAACACGAGAATTTGGAATAAGATCGTGCCTTTTAGGAACGCTCAATACAAGTACATTTATATGTTTATGGGAACTTATAAAATATTTGAAAGCAGTAATTCTCATATTTGCTTCCTTTTGCCCAACATCATTTGAACCACCCCATACTATACAAGCATCACTCTTTTTTAGAGTCTTTAGGTCCAAATAAGTGGTATTTACCAAATTTACTAGTGTTGATCCTGGTTTTGTCACACCCTGAATTTTGTAATCACAAGTTAGTTTATATTTTAATTCATATGAAAGTTCTTGAATAGCTGCACAACTGGTGGTTTCTGAAGAAGGGTTTAGCTCCATGAAGTTAGTTATTTACTCCTACCCACTGTAATTACTGGTTTCTGAGATACAGAGCATGATGGACAGACAGACACTGTGAACTGTACAGATGCTTGGCTGAAGGTAGTCTTGTTACTGGCCAGTAGTCAGGAAGTGACAGAAGTATTCTACTGAGTGGATAATATCCTGTAGCAGCGCTTATGGTTTGTATTCAGAAGTTACGAAATTCAGCTGACATGGCACCAGCTGGTGTAATTGTAGTAGATCAACATTTTCTTTAGTTCTTTGAGAGAAGTGCCTGTGTATTTTGAAACAGGTGATGACCATTTATTCATTCTATGCATTTCACAGCACATCATCGTTCTCATGGTTTATTTGATTCTACGTAACCTCTGCAGTTGTTATATAATAATTAAGTAATCCATCAAACACCTCCCTGTGCAAAAGTGTTTATTCCCCGAATTTTATTATAAGGAAATTTTCAGGACATCTCAGTCGGGCTAGTAATGTACATTTGATGTCAGATCTTCCCTGCTGTTTGCAAGTACGGATCAAGTAAATATTTTTACTGTGGCTTTCAGATGATTCAGGTTGTGTGAAATGTAGTCTATGTGATGCCTGCAGGAGACAACAAGCCAATCTGGCAGGTGGCAGAGGAGCGTGAGGAGAACAAGCATCGCAACAAGGAGAACGTTCCATATGGTGAATATGGTGGTTGGCACAAGGCAGCCAAGGTTGACTCCCCCACTGTAACTACCACCCTGAAGAACCTAGGTGCACTGTATCGTCGCCAGGGCAAATACGAAGCCGCTGATACACTAGAAGACTGTGCTCTCAGGTCTAGGAAGGAGGTGAGTTACACTTCTTGTTGATAAGGTTCTGATTTTGAAACTGTTTAGCTATGTTTCAGAAAATAGCAAGTATGTGTTGTTTGAAGGCTTTTATGGATCAAGATCAAGATATTTTTTTATGTAACACTGAAAAGTGTGTTTGATTTACACATAGCTCATAACTACTGTCTAGGGGTAGTATTCATTTAGTGATTTTCTTGAAAATAGGGTTTAATTGCATGATTATATATATGTGTGTGTGTTTGTGAATGTAATCGCCAGAGTTCTTCTGTCCATCTCCCCCACCTGTTTCTCCCAAGTGGTACATCATAAGAAATAATTGGTGAAGATAATGATGTTCCTCCTGGAGATCACCCCCATCTTGCTTCAGGCATCATACATTAAGAGGTTTACCACAATATCTTTCCATCTTTTCTTCCAGCATCCATTGATTTTCTTTTAGGATCTATCTTTTCTTCCATTCACTTGTAAATGTAATGGAAAGTATTTAACTTTGTCATCTTTTTTATTAAGTGGTGTTTTCCAGTTTTGCAAGTGATTCTGAATACTTTATTTCTTTGTTACCTTGGGTATAGATTTAGATGCATATACAAAACCAATACAATTTAAAAAAATCGTATTTAACTTCTTTTCAGGCCCTAGAAATTGTAAAGCAAGCAAAAGTAGCACAGATATTGGGTGGAGAAGCTGGTGACAAGAGACGTAGTTCAGGGGGGAAAGAGCGCACAAACCGGAGGGGATCAAGGGAGTCGCTGGAGTTAATGCAGTATGAAGGCGAGGAGGTGAGTACCCTCACGACAGTTATGTTATGTGTAGTTAAGTATGGGGAGGGCATAAAATGGCAGTATTGCTTATGGCATTAGGAAATTTAATAAAGTGGAGTAGTGCCATTTCTTTCAGCATGGTTGCTACATGTATTGAATGAAAGCGCAGTGTTGTTTGTTCAAAGATATTACTTAGCACATGTGTTCACTAAGCAGTTTCCATTACACGCATTGCAGTTTTAATCTGCCTGCTGAGAATGAGTTCATGGTGTTCTCACAACTCTGAACAGTGTGTAGTTTAGGTGAAGGTGATCAAGTATTTTGCAGTTCATGATTAGCATTCAGATATCTAAGTTCTAAAGTACTGTATCTGATGTAAAACAAAGCCAACATAATCACACCAATAGGAAATCTAAGATTTCAAGTGAAGTATCTCCAGCCTTTTCAGTCATTTTGGTGCCATCTAATTTTAATCATTCATCCATCAGTCTTATACATTGGCTGTGGGCTTAACATATCACTTGTATGTTGAAGAACTTTGTTATTAATGTCCGATGCTGATGATAAAAGATGATAACTCACTGCTTCTTACATGCATATGATGAAAATTTTATGTATGATAAGATTTAATTTCATTGTCACAGTTATGCTTCGATATAAATATAGACTATAAAAATCTGAAGAGTTCTGTCTTCTGGGATATAACATTTTGTAGTCTGTTGAAAATCTACCAGTGATTTGGAGGTATGTGTCACTTTCATCTTAAGGGTCAAAGTAGGCACATCTTCCTACCTGCTTGATATTGGTTTCTTTCTTGGCTTATTCATGGGCCCTGGAGATGGAAGCAGAATGTTCCTCCAAAATGTTGATTAATTTTCAGTAGATGGCATAAGATAGTACTCTTCATAACCATAGCTTTTAGGACCTCAAATCCTACATAAAAACTACTTTTTGCTGTACGTATATCAACACTGCCTTGGAAATGAAGGGATTGTTTTGTACAATCAAGCGGAGGGTTTGTAAACTGAATGCTAAGATGGGAAACAGATGAATTAGGGAGAGAATGGAGAAAATTACATAATGAGGAATTTAAATGATTATATATACAGAACTTTGAGAATTTTATGATAAAATATCACTTTGAAAAACAGAGCACAGATGTAGGGTAATATTGTAGTGGATCTTCAAAATATAGGTCATGATAATAGGTCATAATAGAGCCCAGCAACATGTAATCAAATTTTTAAACTTGAAGTGGGAGAGAGTGTCCATACAAGCCTATTGTTTGACATAGACTTGTTTTAGCATGGATCACATCTTTCATAATTAAAATTTATGTTGTCACTGTAACAGAGCTGACAGATTTCTGGTTGAGGAAGACATCTGACCCAGAAAGAAATGTCAGAGAAGGGAGTTCTTACAACTTTGCTTTCCTATTTGGAATCTGACAGTGAGACTCTCAGCATTAGAATTTAGAGGAATGCAAAAAATACAAATAAATTCTTATTTGCATTACAGCATACAAGATCGGGAATCTGTAGAACCATTCCATTTCAGGTTCTTTGAAACTTTACAGTTATCTTCATTTAATTGCTTAGATATGTATAATTAAAATAAGTATATTAATAATTTTGTCTAAAAATATGTGATTGTGTATATGCTCATATATGTGTATGTGCGTTGCTTATGAACTAGATACGTCAAAGTCATATGTTTGCTTTAGCATGTCCATGTGTTTGAAGAGTGATTTTGAAGGTTGGAAATATGGAAATGTGATTTTGAAGTGCTTTCTGTGCAGTCTTTTTAAGTCATGTCCACTTCATTGCGCATTTAAGAGTACAATTTTGGTGCTTATGTAGCACCTTTTTATTACAAGCCTGGTTTATGTAATTGTAACAAACAATTTGCAGCATAAACATTGACTGAGAAATCGTAATTTATTGTGTGTGGTCAATTCATGGAATTGTCTTCCAGTATAATTTGCTCTTAGCAGGTGGCATTCTCATCCGTTGACTGCCTTTGTTGGAAAATGCATTGTGATTTGGAGTTAATTTAGGCAAATGGATATTTGATATGTGTTTGAGCCTTCAGAGAAAATATATTTTTATGATTCATTGTAGGCTATAATAAGTCACAGGATTGTTATAGCATACACATAGTATTTTTATGAGAAATGGTTTTCATGGTATCCTGCAAATTTTTCTCTTCACTGTTTTGAACAGAACAGTTTCATTACGTGGAAAAACACACATTTCTTAAACACACAGTGATGTAATGATTCTTTTGGTTTTGAGAAATTTCATAGTAAAAAATTAATTTAATTACAAGTAAATTCATGTCCTTAATTATGTTCTGACCGTTTCTGTGTTACTAAGAGAATATCTCAGAACAACTTTGTCTGTTCACACTGAATGTAGTCTATCTATTAAATTTAACTTCTGAATTATTGAATCGTTATACCTTTCGAGCGTGTTATCAGAAATTTTACCAGGTCATATGCACTTTCATCCCTACATTCTAATTTGTTATTTATGGTGGCCAGGCGAACTCCTCTCATGGATGAGCCAAGTTCTGATCGATTAATGGCCCCTAATCACAGATATACAAAACCTTACATGAAAATATTCATGACCTTTAAAGTTTCCTTCGGTTCTCTAATTCACACAAATGATCCTCAATAATCGTGTATGCATATGGAATCTGGCATATGAAGTTCGCCTTGAGAATTTGTTTAAAAGTGTATTGTGTAATATTCTTAGGCTTTTATAAAACCAAGGTATGTTTTGAAGGTTCTCCCCAATTGCCATACCATTTATTTCAGTACTCTAAAGAGATTATTCCATTTGTTTTATATTTCCTCGCTCTCAAACAAAATTTGAATTTGGTTGTAATTCCGATGTCTTACAGTTGAATCTGAAGTATAATATGGAAAATATTGGGACGTAGATGGCGCAACAGGAAGTAGGGGTCACGTGAACTCTGTGTTTCCATGAGTGACATCACGTAACCCCACTCCTATCATTACGTAACGCTTGGTAAACACCCTTCCCCGCGAGGCTGTGACGTCACTCAACAGGCAAACCCGTGCAACGACTGTTGCTAGGCAATCGGTAAACACGACGTCAAGCAACAGTGAAGCGATATGGGTTTTCCGCTGTCCCATTGAGGGTTTATAAGAGTTACTAGAGGGAGAATAAAGAGTCATTCCGTGTGGAGGCGGGTTCGAATACCTCCACCGTGACCCTGCGAGTCGTAAGAGGTGACGAACAGGGAAGTCTCAATTCTGAAACAGTAAAATATGGTCAAGAGTCCCAAGGGACTCGGACCCAAGAAATACTGCGCTGGCAAGGACCAGCAGCATATACAAAAGACAGACCCATCCTGTCGTCAGAGAGGGCGCCACACAAAATCAAAACCGTAACTGTGAAAAAGTAATAAATATCTGGTCATGAGTCCCAGATGGGGCTCGAAACCAAGACTTACTGACTGATTGACCGTCAGTCGCGATGTGACTTTGACTTTGAATAACGAGTCAGTTAAAATGTAGCAGCCGCCGAAGACAGTTGAATTGTAGTAGTCACCGAGTTCAGTTGTAATGAGTAAATCGTGATAGTGTGAAGAGATTTGTGAGTAAGGTTTGTAAAGTGTGTAAACCCCCAACATTGTCATAATTAATTGTAGTTACGATTTGTAGGTTGTTGAATAAACCCACTAACAATCTGAACGGCGTCTTCAGTGGCAAAACACGTTACATTTGGTGTCAGAATTGGTATACGAATTTACACACGCCACAATTTGAACTGAAGACTGAAGTGTGTGTTTACAGTGTTGCCATACAAATATGGAACAATTATTCGAAATGCTGAAACAGATGAAGGCCGATGGGGAGGCTGACAAGGAAGAAATGGAGACCAATAGGAAGAAAGAGAAGGAAAAAATGGAGGCCAATCGGAAGAAAGATAAAGAAGATTTAATGGCCAAATTAGACACCTACCAAGCTAAGATGGAGTCGGGCCATAAAATGTTGCGGGCCGGATTGGATGCTGACAGACAGGCCGAGCGAAGAGAACGGAGGGAAATAATGAAAATGGTGGGCACCAGCCACAAGGAGATGGCTGCGGAAACCAAACCAGAAGAAGAAGAGACGATGGCCTGCCAAGAGATGGAGGCACGCCTAGAGGAGCCGACCTCAGTGGACATGAAACCTGAGGCGGTAGAATGACGAGCGGTCCCCGTAGAAGACGCCACAGTGATGCCGGTCGGAGAACTGAAGAAGAAACAGCATAGGGACCAAAAACTGGCCGCGGAGCGCCGCTGCCAGGAACTGAAAGATAAGACACGGGAAAAGTGTGGATCCCAGAAGAGATTAGCCATAGCCCGCAGAGGGACAAGCCACCATGCAAAAGTGGCATGGCAGAAGGAAAATGTTGGGAGAAACTGCACCATGACCGTGATTGAGCAAGCAACCCAGAGAGTAGGGCAGCTTAGGAAAAATTTTCGGATGCACAATGAAGGAAAAAGAACAAAGGACCGAGGCGGCAAGCAGCCGCTGTACGTGACAAAGAAGAGGGAAACCGTGAACTACATCGAAGGGTGTGGATCAGAACAGCGATCACACCTGGAAAGCGGAGAAACGAGCAAGAAGACCGTCAATGTGATTTTCAAAGGAAAGATCGCGAAACAAGTAGTTGGTACTTGTAACGGGTTACGAAAAATGAGAAAATGTACCTTGTGGAGAGGTAGGCTCCTTCCAAAACGGAAAAGGAAGCAGAGGAGGAACCAGTAATGTAGAAACACTGGCCTCCCCAGGGTGAATGAGGAGAGATTGAAAGTGAGGGACAAATGTGATACAACTCGATCTCATGACAAGTTAACAGGAAACCGCTGAGACAAGCTGTTCTTAAGAAGGGACCGGATGTAGCGGTTGAAGAACGGACAACGGGAAGAAAGAAAACACCAAGCCAGAAAAAAAACGTTTCAAGCATAGCCTCGGATAAAAAAGGGACCGGTGATGCACT